GAAGTGTAGTATGAGTACAACCGACCCCATAAACTCAATAAGTAACAAACCTAACCTTAGGTTGAGAGTAGTGACGAACTGGAACAAAGGTCGGGTCCCACATCCAATATCCAACAATAGTTCATAACAACGTAAAACAAGTAATAAAAGAAGTAACTCAGAGGTAAAATGCTCTACTTAATCATGGTTCCCGAAAATAGTTCCGCTTTTCAAGTATATCAGTGAAAACCCAGATCTCTTACCAAAATCGCTGAAAATATGAGTAAAATTGAAAACTGTAATTTTTCCCAACCCTATCAACAATAAATATGATGTTTCATTTTCTTTTCAGATACCAACTGTAAAATACCTCTCTATGCCCATATGTCAATATGTGTGAGAAGTCATGAATGACGTGATACCGTACATCATGAAGAAAATACATCTCTATGTCTGAATGTCATGTGTGCATGTCAATGCAATGTATCTCAGAGATAAACTCATGTACCCACACTCTCAGAGTACTCTATCTCACTGTCTCACACTTTTCAGTCATCATGCTCAATCACTCAGTATAATATACGGCTAATCCGGTCCAGGGAAGGTCCATCTCAGAATATATACATCAACTGACCATCAGTCTCTCAGTACTGAGTAGGGCCAAATCTAGCCCGTGAAGAAGATCCATCCCCAGGTATATAAATGATTTGGACAAGATTCATGTCCAGGGAAGATCCATCCCTCAATATAATCAACCGCGTTCATTGGGGGTGTGTGCAGACTCCGGAGGGGCTCCTTCAGCCCAAACGCTATCATAAATCAGTACGACCGCTGCGATGTGCAGCCTGATCCCATTAATTTCCTCAACCTCACTCAGTCATCAATCTCTCTAGTCTCTCGGGCTCATAATGCCATGAAACTAGCCTAAAATGATGATATGATGTGCTAATAAATGGTAACAGAGACTGAGATATGATATGCATATGAATGCGTATGACTGAGTATGTAATGCAATGAAAGCAGGTAACTGAACAGCAGAAACGACCTCAATGGGTCCCAACAGGATAAGCATGTAGTCTGGACATGGTTTCTAACATGGATCACAACTCAATAGCTCAAGTACGTAGAAATTTCATGGTTACAGGTAAGATCAGGTACCTACACAGTACCACAGAAATAACGGAATCACAATTCACACGGTGCACGCCCACACGCCCGTCACCTAGCATGTGCATCACCTCAACACCAAACACATAACACGTAATTCGGGGTTTCATACCCTTAGCACCAAGTTTAGAAGTATTACTTACCTCGAACAAACAAAATCCAATACCCAGCAAGCCAAATGATGCTCCAAAAATACCATCCTGCGTGTACTGACCTCTGAACGGCTCAAAACCCAATACATATGGGTTAAAATCGCTTCAAAAGATTGTCCAAGTCCGAGTTGCCCAACTCAAAATATGACCAAATGAACAAAGCTTCTATATTAAGTATTTTCCCCCAGCAACTCTGCCTCGTTTTATGTGCCAAATGACCCCGAAATTCACTTTTGATGCCTCCAATGGATTCTTTGTGAAATTTCAGTCAAGTTAGGCTTTTAAATCACTCCATTTGACCTTATAATGAAGGAGATATATTGGTTTCAATATTTGGAAATTGTGCAGATTTTTAAATACGAAGTCAGTGGCAATTTTGTAATTAATCTGCAAAAATCTGGAAACCCAATTCTTAGTAAAATGATCATAAAATCCTTATACAATGTCCAAATTCGATGATTCTTTTTGCTCCGTAATTACGATACAGATCTAATGCTTCAATCGAAATAGAAATTGGAGGTCATTTGTTTAATTTGGTACCATTTATGCTTGAAGAAACGACGTCGAAGCATAAGAAAACGAGCGCAACAGAGCCCAAACCTTTCCGAAACTCACCCGAGCACCTCGGTACCCCGTACAAACATACCAACAAGTCACATCACATAACACGGACCTACTCGAGGCCTCAAATCACGCATAACAACATCGAAACAATGAAACACATCTCAAATCAAACTTAATGAACTTTCGAACTTTCAACTTGCAAAAACTCGCGCCGAAATATTTTAAATCAACTCGGAATAAACTCAAATTTTGCACACAAGTCCTAATACATCATACGGAGCGACTTTTTCCCCCAAACTATAGAGCGAAGTGCAAATGCTCAAAATGAACGGTCGGGTCGTTACAGTTCTCCTCGAGTTCACGGGTCCTACCTGGAGAATAGGGTCACTTTTTAGTTTTCTTAAGTTGTTAATCCTTAGCTTTTCTTTAGTTCAGGGGTCCTGCCTGGAGAATAGGGTCGGTTTTTAGTTTTCTTAAGTTGTTAATCTTTAGTTTTCCTTGAGTTCAGGGGTCCCGTCTGGAGAATAGGGTTAATTTTTAGTTTTCTTAAGTTGTTAATCTTTAGTTTTTCTCGAGTTTAGGAGTCCTCCCTGGAGAATAGGGTCAGTTTTTTATTTTCTGAAGTTATTAATCTTTAGTTTTCCTTGAGTTCAGGAGTCCCGCCTGGAGAGTAGAATTAGTTTTTGAAATTTTAAGTTGTTAATCTTTAGCATTCCTTGAGTTCAGGGGTCCCGCCTAGAGAATAGAGTACGTTTAGTTTTTAAGCTGTTAATCTTTAGTTGTTCTTAAGTTCAGGGGTCCCGCCTAGAGAATAGGGTCTATTTTTATTCCTTAAGTTGCTAATCTTAAGGGGTCCCGCCTGGAGAGTTTTAGTTTAGTCATGCTCAGTTTATAGTTTTCCTTCAAGTTCACTCCTAGGAGACTCACATCCTAGTATGAGACATTCAAGTTTCATCCATAGGAATGCACTTTCTAGTTTGGGTCATTCAGGTTATACCTTTTAGGAGACGCACTTCCTAGTCCACGTTTGACAGTTTTACTCTTAGGAGATGCACTTCCTAGCCTAAGTTTCTTAGTTTTACTCACAGGAGACACACATCCTAGTCGAGTCTTTAGTTTTACTCTCATCATTGCATCCTTCATTAATTGCATAGGTGATGTACAATTTTGCTAACAACTCACAAATCTTCCTAGTGCAAACTGGGCAGAAATTTTGTTTGTTTTGTTTGTTTTGATTGCAGGCACCCACCTGGATAACGAGGGACAATATTTCAGAAATTGGTTTTAGGTTCAAGTCAAAGACACACCAGGAGCCCGCCTGAAGAACAGGGTCAACTTCAGTTTCTTTCAAGTTCAAGCAACAGGATCACACCTGAAGAACAAGGTCAACTTTCAATTTTCGAGTTTAAGAAGTAGGAGCTCAGCTGAAAATGAAGGTTTACAAGCGCAAGCCTACTTCAAAGTCAAGCTTATTTCAAGTTCGAGTTAGAAGTACCAGGAGCCCGCCTGAAGAACAGGGCCAACCGTCTCCATTTCAATTTAGAAGTACCAGGAGCTCGCCTGAAGTACATGGACACTTATTCAAAAGAAAAGAAGGTTATTTTACGGTTTATTTGTGAACGACTTCTTACTTTCTCTGCTTAAAATAAAGGTTATTTTACGGTTTTACATTGACTTGGTTGAGTGCGGTGATTTTAATAATTATCCCTGGGGTATAGACAGGTATAAGTTATTCCAATACTATTTTTAATCTTGGGATAACTTATCCCAGGATTAGCAACCAAATAAGGGATAAGGCGGAACTAATTTTTATCACAGGATTATTTTTGATTATTCATCGTACCAAACGACGCCTAAGAAATTTCAAATATTTTCCACCGTACCCAAACAAAAAAGGGGGAGTAGAGGAAGTTACGATATTAATTTAGAAGATGAAGACTAGTTGATATCATGACGATTTAATTGAACTTGAAAATTGGGACAGAAAATTAATCCTGAAGCAGAAAAAATAATGGGAATAACCGATTGAAAGGGTAATGAAACTATCCAGAAAGTACTACTCCAATACAGAAGAGAGCAAGCCAATAGCTGTCTGAGTGACGCTATTTATTGTCATTTTGTGTGGAATTCAAATGCACAAGGAAGAGTACAAACTACAAAGACCAGGAACCTTTCAACTTCCTTATAGATTCCACTAGTGATGATGTGATGCCTTGTTGAATTTAAGCCCCCTGCATTAAGAATAGTTCACACAAGAGATTTTTCCCGAAATTTGAGGTCTCTGATTATGGGCGGATGAATCCATTCATCCCCACCTCTTACTAGTGGTGACTCCTAGATTACTACTCCCTCCGTTTTAAACAGATACAATTTGTGTGGCTATAAATACAAGACTATTTTCCTCAGAATTTCCATACGAATTTTCTTAGTTCATTCTTCTTTTTTCTGTATATTTTAACTTTAAAAAAAAGCAACAGTAGGTGTGATTTGCTACCGAACTTTGTGTTCGCTGAAACACTGGGGTTTAAAGTACCACTACACCAGTGTGTAATTCGTTCTATCCTGGGAGGAAATAATTCATAACATTGGGTAGTAGGGGGGATTAAATTCCTTAAGGAAATACTGTAAATTCAGCGGGCTCGAATTGGTTTTTGTTATTTCGTTTACATTTCTGTTTTACAAATACAGATTACTAACAATTACTAGCTAGTAGTCATTATTTTTGCAAGAGGTCTTGGTCATCCCCTTACCTGGACCTCGCGCATAGCTGGAGTTTAATGCACCAGGTTGTTCTTTTTTAATCTGGAGATAGACATCTTAGGGTGTTGAAAACGGATCGCAACAGCAAAGGCTCCAAAAATAGCTATTCAAACAACACCCCAAAACCATTCCTAAAATTGAGCAATGCAATGTTGTCAAGAGCTCCGTGTGTTGAGTTGTGTTTCCTTCTCATAGTGGTATTAATGCTTGGACAAATTTCAAACAGACAAGAAAATAGAACAAGTTTCATAGTAGTCACTGACTCACAATTACAATTACATGAATGTGGTCATCCCACAAATTGAATTCTCCAGCTTCAACGTGAGGTGCAATTGAATTTTACAGTACTATTATTTTTCCCCCTTGTAAAACAAATATCTAATTCAGACCTTGAGTGAGGGCACGAAAACACTTCTCAATTTGGCGTATTTCTTTTGCAACATGAATCATGTATGGTCTATCTTCTCCATTTGATAGTGTGCATCTCTTAACAAGATCCAAGCAGTCCTCCAATTGTTGTCGAATCTCAATTCCATTCTCTTCCAAAATTGCAGGATCCACTATATCCATTATATTACACTCTTCAATATTGGACGCGTTGTACGGGTCAATATTAAAAATAAACGTTCTCTTTCCAGTCAATAGCTGAAAGAGAATAACTCCAAAACCGAAGACGTCAGTTTTTTGAGTAACAATACCCGAGCGGACATATTCTGGATCTAAGTAACCACATGTTCCGTGCACAACTTGAGCTTCTGCTTCCAACTCTCCCGGAGGCAATGATATGGACAATGAAAAGTCAAATAGTTTTGCAACTCCACTGCTCTGATCTATTAACACCTTTTGTAAGTGCAGGTCTACGTAAATAATGGGCGTAGTAAATTCACTATGGAGATAAAGAATTGCTGAAGCAATCGCATTGGCAATCCGCAATCTACTTTCCCAAGATAGTGATGAATTTCTAGCATCAAAAAGTAAATCATGAAGAGTTATAACCTCAACATATTCATACACTAGAACAGGTACTGCATATTCTAGGCAACAACCAATAAGTTTAAGCACGTTATTAAGATGACTCATCTGAGAAGTAATTGCTATATCGTGACATATATAATTGGAGTACTTTGCAGTGAAAGTATCGTACGCGAAGCTAACCAAAACAAAGCGTTTGTCTAGTAAGCCTTTTACCATATGTCTTCCGTAGGTGTATAATGACTTTTCTGAATGTTCAATCGGCCTCTCGATTTCTATGGCACTGAAGTAACGAAGGGGAATTCGGCTTTTTCCATCGCATAAAGCAATAAGCTCCTCTAGCACTACACTTCCATTCTTCAAATAGTACTGCTCTTTCTTCTGCCTTTCTTTAGAGGGAAAGGATGAAGTTAGTTTGCTTGTGAGTCCCCTAAAATGATGCATTTGTTCTTGCCAAATTAATTCAAGGAAAATGACTATTAATAGCATCAGACGGCTATTGATTTGACTCTCTTATGAATTACTCCCTCCCCTCCAAAATAAGTGATTTTTTGGTCTTTTTCTTGTGGTCCAAAATAAGTGATTTTTTCAGATTTCAAAAATGAATTAATTATTTTTTTCCTACACTGTCCTTGGAGTAAATAGTGTTGGAATATGTATTAGGAGTGTTTATGTGAGATAGTAAAGGTTAATATGGTCAATTCCATTGCTAATTAGACCGGAGGGAGTACTTGGTAGTTTCGTTGCTTTTGTTTTGTGTCTTTTGAATTTCCAGCCATTTTCATTCCCATTGTCTTAAATTTGGTTGACTTGATACGGCTTGGTTGTTTTACACCATTTTCAGCCACTAACTTTTTTCTTTCTGGCCTAAGATATTAAATTTCCTGGTCATGATATCAACTGTACTCCTTGTTCTAAATTAAATATTTTACGTGTAGCTTTTTTTTTTGTCGGTATAATTAAAAAGCTAAAATTTCTTGAAATCTTTCATAAGCTACATAGCGTAAGTCCACCACGAGTAACAACTTCATTTCCTCGAGTATTTTCCCAAATTAATAAGAGAAAATTATCTTGTATGACCCACTTTTTACGGCGGCTATACAAGAAAGAATTTTTGGCCCACTTCTCAAGTTATTTATCTCTCGTTTGGCGATAGATTTTGGTTTCAATTTTTCAAAAAAAAAAAATTGAAAACATTATTTGTTTATGAAATCTGATCATGTTTTGGAAAAAAAATTTCAAAAAACTTCAAATCACCAAAAACTGATTTAGGGTAGTTTTTGGGTGAAATTGTTTCTTCCACTCACAAAATTTCAACTTTTATTCAAATAAAATGCATGTCCAAACTCGAAACTTTCAAAAATTATTTTTTAACACAACTTAAAAAACTATTTTTTCAAGTTTCAATCAAATCTATATCCAAATTAAATATTTGGATATAAACTATACTCCTTGTTCTAAATTAACTATACTCCTTGTTCTAAATTAAATATTTTACATATAGCTTTGTTTTGTTGGTGTAATTAAAAAGCTAAAATTTCTTGAAATCTTTCATAAGCTACATAGCTAAGCCCACCACGAGTAAGAACTTCATTTTCTTGAGTATTTTCCCAAATTAATAATCTTCTTCCTTACTATTGGATTGGATGCAGTAAATATCAGGGCTCAACCATGGACAAGCGGTGGAAACTACCAAGTTGAAGTACGGTAGGGCCAGAGGGAATTCTCTGCTGTCAACTCGATGTCGTTGTCACTTGCAAGATAAGGTCGAAAACTTGACTTTAGGAAGCAACCTCTCCCCTCCCCTATGGTCCCCAATAATGAATTCACGCTGACCAGGTCTCTACATTCCTTTTTTTTTTTTTCCCAGCTGCTTCATTAGGATAAGGAATGGGACCCACCATCGGCTTAGTAGGGACCTAAACAAAGATTTTTTTTCCTCGAAACCTTATTCACTTTTCGTAGAAACTTAATAACTGAAAGAGAAGAACTCCTAGACGTTAGTTTTTGTGAGTAACAATATTACTCGAGATGACATATTTATATCATACCGATAAGTATATAATTTGTGTTTTTACATATATTTTATTATTTAATCAAGATTAATTGACATGTATTTCACTTAAATTAATGCTAGCTAGTAACTATATTATGTAATTTGGGTAAACACCTAGTGTTAGCAATTTTTTTTTTTAAAAAATTTTTAAAAAAAGTTTGTGTATAAGGACTTGACAACTGCCGATTATTAGTTAGTCCTGTGAAAAAAGATAAATTACTCATTTTCTCATTTAATGTCGCATTATTTCTTATAAGTCCGTCCAAACATATTTTTATATTTGTAAATAATTTAAATATTTTCTTTTACCTTTAATTCTATTATTTTATAATCACAAAAATATCGTGAGCAGATCTAAGATCACAACTTTTCAAATTATTCTTTTTTTTTTTATAAAAAAAAAATAATAAACTCTGTGTGTAATTAAAATTAGCCACATAAATTGGAACGAGAGAGTTGTTATTTTCTTCTATTATATAAAAGGAGAAGTAAATCCATGACATTATGCCAAGTGTCAAACCGAAATATCAATACCTGTCATGTTTTAGGACAAAACTCCAATACTTTTGGAATTCAAAAATTTTTAAAATAGAAAAGAAATTACAAAATCTTAATATTAACCAATTCAGTTATTAACATCATGGAGTCCCACGTTTTTTAGCACATACTTTGTAAGACTGCAAACTAAAAAACATAACTATTAAAATTCCTGACTCCCACATTTTTCATTAGTTTTTTATTTGTTACGAAACTTAGCTCAAAGTGTCACACCTCCTTTTTCACCGGTTTAACTTAAATCCCAAATTGAGGAAAATTGTCTACTTCTCAATTGGAGTCTGCGAACCAGAAATTCTGAATAAGGAATTCAGTTGACCCGAGGGAAGGTGTTAGGCACCCCCGGATCCCGTGGTTCTAGCACGGTCGCTTAAATTATTATAAATGCTAAAAATCTGATTTTTATACATGCTTAAACCTATAGTGCAATTTTAGAATTATTTACTGCTTTTAATTATTTTTTACGAAAACGAACGTCGTTTAAAAACGTGTTTTCGGATCACGTCACATGAAATGCACCCGGATCTTCAACACAGTCTTATTCAACGTTTTGAGATTTGGATTTGGGTCGCATGAAATGCACACCCGTATTTAGGAAGGTAAAATTATTAAAAGCGTGCCTAAAGTGACTAACGTCTTATTATCTTCGGGGAAAGCCGTGAAATTCGCTAAACGGTCCATCCCGGATTCTAAGTATTTTAATATAGCCATTTTACTCGTAAGG